TGTAGGTACAGTAAATGAAATGTGATTTCACTAGCAAAGATCACAATGTATTATACAGGGAAGTAAAAAGGAAAATTGTTTTTTTTTTTAAATTACTGAATAAATTTGGGCTAAAATGATCCGGTTTGATGATGCTGTCCATGGGTCTCATTGCCAATGTGAATTTGTGTAAAGATACTTTTGATCATAGCGTAGGTTCGTGACCAGAGAAATTGATCTGATACATACTTGTATTTCTTATGATCTTATTACCTCCTCAATCCCCTTCATGCCCGCTGGCACACGACTGTGGCAGTTGTAGGAGTGTTATTTTTTTTATACCACGATTTCCATGAGATGACTTTCCTTTCCATGTAATAAAGCCTATCATTAAGTCAGAAATATAATACTAATGATGTCACAAAACAACCTACATGGAAGGTAACTTGAACTGCAAGTTTATAATATTTTTTATTCAATTTTTTCCTAATTGTCCTTGTATTTACTTAATTCTGTGCACAACATCAGCATGATGTTTTTTTTCTCTTTACTGTTATTTCTAATGATACACTCTATAGTTTTCACATTCTTAATGGAGTAATCAACGTGATGATCGAGAAAATACTAGCACAATGATTAGTTATGTATTAAACAGCCATTGAAATGTTTCACATGTTCAAAGACTTTTCACGATATTCATATGAACTAAAAGCGTAGGTCAAATTTAATCAGATGAAAAATTATTTTGAGCTTTAATCGAATGAAACAAGATTTTTTATGTACAAAAAATAGAAAAAAAAATGTCAAAGTAATTTTTGAATGAATTCGCATAACAAAGTGGTTGACCGCAATTGCTTCTTTTTGTTTTTTGCATGTTGTTTAATGTCCCTCTCGAGAATTTTTCACTCAAATGAAGACAGAACAGAATTGCCGGTTGCCAGTACCTACTTTGGTATGGGACATCGACTTATACGGTCTCAAACGAAGGACCGGTCTCCACGTCCCACAGAGCGTTTCTTCTTTTTAAGAGTAGAAATGATCATTTTTCAGTTTTCTTTCACTTCCCAGGATCGTTCATATTTCTTTCCGGTCCTGGTAGCACCTGAATCCTTGGAATGTGTTTCTTCTTACAACTGTCTAATCTCAGAAGTGAATTAAAAGCGTATTTGAAGTTTTTGTTGGTCATGTAGTAAACCAGCCAATTGATGGACGGATGCAAGTGGGCAAACGTCGTTATTATTAAATGTGCTTCGTGAGGAAAGGAATCTTGCCTGTCCAGTACAATTATAAGTGCATATGGTACCCAACACGTCGTGAAAACTAGGTAAATCAGAAACAACGCAGCTAGGATAAGGCAGTCCGTAAAATATCAAACTGTTCAAACTGTAGTAACTTCTCTAAACTACCTAGATATGACGTCATAATAGAATATGACGTCAAGTCACTGCATACTTGAGCTGACATGACGGGGAAAGTGTCATAATTTTTACGTGGATTTAAATTTAATTTGTGGACTTGTTGTTTAATTCAAGTGTAAGGATTGTTCTTTAAGCTTGAATATGCTGTTATGATGTTGAACCTTTGAAATTTAAATATCCCTATTCCTTTTGCATGTCCGATATGCACATATTCAAAGTCAAACAATAGCAAAACATTATGTGTGAAACGCTCCCCTTACACGTCCGAAGACAGAGTTAGAATTTATTTAATCGTGTTTATATTGGACTAGCACAAGTGATAAACAAGGACAAATTGAAGATATTCTGCGTGAATCTAGTAGAGACGTATGTCCTCTAACTGAATTTTGCTGGGGGATTGTGTGTAGTTTAGGCATTCTGGTATAAATCGCGATAAAGAGTTGAAAATACCCCTTCTTATGTTGGTAAGTTGAATTTCTCGTAAAATATTTTCTAAACGCGTAAAAATTAAACCTGCCCCCAGCATTTTCTAATTACCAGAGATAACGATTAATTGATTTATGTAACAAACTCTGCACAATTTTTTTGTTTATCACATGTGCCGAAGCGATTTTTGTGCAGCAATAGGGAATATCATAAATCTCTGTCACGTGATCAACACAGTCATGTGACATCACAAAAAAGCGTTAAAATAAAACCTGATTCAACTATTATCTAAAGTTGACTACAATTTCAAACAAGGATTACATATTTAAATAAAACTCTACCTCAAAATGTAATGTATATTTTCAAGGCATTTAAAGCCTTCGGACAGCCTTATCATAACTGCGAAGGTTCGAGCAAAGCACATTGACTTCCGTTGCTGGTCGTATGACGTTAGGTCCATGACTTGTTTGCTGCTTTTATGAAATTTTTGATAAATACACAAGTAAAAGCATCCCGTCAGTATAACTGGAATCCATACAAGAACAATAGAGAATATCACTGTGTAATAGTAAGTGGCCATTCGGTCCCAAATGCACTCAAAACTTTTACGATCAAAGGAGTGGTCCCCAATCCCTGCCAAATTTAATAGGATTAGTAAAATTCCAATAAGATAAAGAGAAAAACACATCACAATACACGATCTCTTTGAAAATAAATTATTGTAGTATTTGCTATGACAGGTGAAGATAAAGCGACTAAAGCTCATTAGAGTAATAGAACCAAGGGAATTTATACAGGATATGGTGCACAAGTATGCGATAGCTGGACATAGACGCGGATATGCATGGAAGAATCTTTCTCCCTCTAATTTACCTGGAATGGTTAAAATAATAAATGCTGTTAGTCAATGGAAATCTTTTTTATTAACAAGTAAAGAATGAAACAGATTTAAATATTTTACACATCTATGTAATTCCAATATAGATTTGTTGTAAATGATTAAAAATATAACTCTTATGTAATTTAACCATGTTCTGACTGAGGTTTGAAAAAAATAATACATGTTAACTTGTTTTTCTTAGTAACTCAAAAAATATTCATAATATTTTTCAACTCAAAAGTTCAAATTCTATAACAAACTTTAGGTAATATCCAAGAAATTTAAACCATCAAAGTTTGAGTTAAATGTTTAAACTTTTAAAAAATATTAAATATGAATGAAAAACGTTTTTTTATAAATGCTTGTATACTTACTGACAATGTGACGTGTAACCGAGCGGATGTTACAACAATAATGATACTTCGTTAATTAATCGTTATTTTATAAAAAAAAAAAAATTATTTCCAAAGCAGATACTTTTAATCTGACATGGGTCCTCGTCCACTGATTACTTTCTGTGTGATGAATTTGTTTGTATAAAGTTAACTGAATTTAAAAAAAGTTAGAGTTACGAATTTATCCTTGATACTCATCCTCTTCTATTTAACCAGCATAATAATCTTACTGGACATTTTATTTTCAAAAACCCTCAAACAGGGAATCTGTTTGAAGTTAAATCGAATTAGTACGTTGCAAGGTAATGAAGGAATTCCATAGAAATATTCCTTATAAGACAAATGTGATCAAGTTAAATTATTTGAAATTCAAAAATTTATTCATTATCTTTCTCTAGCTTTAGTAAATTGATAAATTTTTCACAAACTATGATTTGAGTATTTTTTTTTAAAATTATTTATTTAAAACCTATTTTAAATTTAATTTTAATGACACCATGACGTTCAATATTCGGTAAGGGCTACTATCAGGGATGAGGTACCGTAGAGAAGTGAGCATCCCCTGTCTACCGGCCTCCAATCTGAGTGCTTCTTGCGATTGTCCTTTTCTCGAAAATAGGAGTAAAATCGAATACAATGAGGTGTGTAATTTTTTTCATAACAATAAGAATGAAAAAAACTTCAATCAGCATAAATTAACAAAATGAAATTATATCTGCTAATAAGGCCATTGATCGACCATAGAACTTATGAAATGACGAGTTTAAACCACATTGTTAATATTCTTTTAACAAATTGTTGAAATAACAATTAAAAATTCCGTTGAAATATCTACTGGTTGAAAGGAAAGCCATTGCAGGTGCTTCTTTTTTTTTCGTGTATGAGGTATTTTGTTTAAAAAAAAATTCTGCTTAATATGAGTTCGAAGGCAAGTCTGCTAATAACACGAAGCAAGTGATACAACTGGAGCTCTGAGAGATTGTTAGAAGGCGTGGCCTCAAAAAACTAAAAAGATAACGTTATCCGGACAACTCAGTAAGTCAAGCGTTTTTACCCTGCCTTTTCTTCACATTGAATTGTCATTCTTGAGCCCCAAATGTTAAACTTTTCTAAATTCTACTGTCAATAAATGAAAGAACCCTGATCATAATTACGACTTTGTATTTTTACCAATTTCCAGAGAGAAGATATCGTGAATTAATGAAGCGTTCCATAACTATTATGATTCTTTATTTGCTTAATACATGCGTTTAATCACAATTTTTCATAAAGCGTTGGTGTGGTATAGCTCTTCTTTATATGAAAAAACAGCGCCTAGTTTATATATATATTCGCTTGATATGGCACTTCTATACATGAAACATAACAAACTGTGTAACACATAATAAATGCAAATATACAGATGTAAAGATAGGACATACGAAGAATGAATCAAAACATCATTTCTTAACTTAAAAACTAAATGCAGAAATTTACCGAAATTACAAAGCTCCAAAAAAATTTGTACACTCAATAATTGGACTAATTTGAATGCGGATGGGTTTTCAAGTAATAACTTTTAATACACTTACTTCCCAAGTCCTTGTATGGGGATCAAATTAAAACAAAATGGAACTCATCTTCTATTATGGTTTTTACAAAAATTCACAAAACATAAATTCCTTTACAATATTACAATTTTATGCCGGCCAGTTTCAATTGCCAGGTTATGGGAAGACATTCTTATTCTACTTATTTGTTTTTTTTTTATAAAGATTAGGTATTGACTTTCTTAAATAATATTGCAAGGTTAAATGATCTACAATGTGTCTGTAAAAAATACATTTTGTAGAACAATTTATTTCTGCCATGAGATTTTGTATAAAATAATCTGTTATTCTTTGTTTGATTAAAGGAAATTGTTTATTAATCATTACTTTGTCTTGTTCAAGCCAGATAAATCCGAGTCCATTCTCATAAAGTTTTTGTTTGATATTTTCAGCCCAATTATCAGAGTGTCTGCCGGAATATTCACATTCATTGGACAAATATTTATAATACATTTTCAAGATGCAATACTGTATTAGCATTCTATGGTTAAGAGCAATGAGTCCTAAAATGTATCTAATAATTTATGTAATTTTTAATATTATAGTCTGGTCCGATTTATAGAAAAAAATACTTCTAACAGCAAATAATTATTATTTGGTCCGGCATAGTTTTTTAACCTATTTCGAGTATGCTGAATCCGAAAAAACATGCTGGCCTTCATGAAAATGGCGTTAAAGAGGTCAAAATGGCGATTCAAAATGGCGGTCATCCAATTTTTTCTAATTTTCTCTAAATGTCGTTCAAAAAGGAAAAATAATGTGTGAATATCTCACTGAGTGTAAAACAAGTATAAAAATGATAATAAAGTGCTCACATTATTAGTTTAACTCAGAAAATGTAGTCGTTTCCACACTTAATTCGAATTTTCTCTGATTTTTTGGTCTATTGTTCTATATTCCGCTTTGTTCAAGATTTTACATATGAAAAAATCCATACACTGCGGATTTGTATTTTTCCCTCTACATCTCACTATTCTACAACTGAATGATGGCGTAGCTGTTAGTTTAAAGTCAAAATGGCGATTCAAAATGGCGGATATTCATCTTTTTTCTTTTAATTATTTCTAAATGTCATTTACATAGGAGAAATGATTTGTGAATATCTTACTGAGCGTAGTACAATTATGTAAAATGCAACAGAACACTAATTTGATCACTTTAAATCGGAAAATTTAGTCGTTTAAATTTGAAATGTGTTAATTAGCTCAAAATGGCGATTCAAAATGAAGTCTGATACACTCGAATTTCGTCGAAACTGCTTAATTCTGGTTTGTTTTGCAGAAAATAATTTACAGTTTTTTTTATATATATAGAATATATAGTTTATTGTTTAGTCCATAAATATGAACAAGAAATACTTGAAAAGATCTGGAAATAGTTAAAACAAACTCGACTTAAGAGTTTCCAAATTTCCCCCTTCATATTTGACCGTACATGTTCCAAAGCCTTTGAGCCCCCGTCCACCTAAAATCACTCCCGAATTCTGTCATTATCAACTCACACTTCTACCTCAACATCCCTCGGCATACCATCAAATATAACTGAAATAATTCTTGTCCGATTTCATCGAACACTTGTTCTAGCTTTTTAGCACTTATAGGAACTTAGTATTATCCCCTAACATCTTCTATTCCAGCTTTATTTGGTAAATGTTTCAGCCTGTCTTCGGAATTTTGGTATTTTCAACACTCAAGTAAAATGGTGCCCCGTGTCAAGGATGACAACTCCCTTGGCATGTAAAAGATCGTTTCTCTGGAGTTCGAAAAAGATTAAGCTCACTGGGGGCCGCCAGAGAAACCAAATCCTTCAAAATCCAATTATTTAAACTGATAGTCTGCCGAAACATGGCTGAAAAATTGCCGACTCGGCGTTAAACAATATACAATCAATCAACCAACACTCAAGGAACAGCACATTTATGTTCAAATGTTAAAAGTCTATTTTGTTTTCCAAAACCATATGCAAAATGAACTAGAGGTACTGTGAGCAATTAGCTCACTAAATGATACCCCGGTCTCCCATATGAATATAATGACAGTGTCCATGTTTCGCTATCATGGGAAACCCAAAATATGTGTCGGATCAAAAAGTTAAATAGGAGGTCACAATGGCAATATGTAATAAAGAGTCTGTAAAAGTTTCATCAAATTTCATTCAGTGGTATGAGAGGAGTTGCGGATAAGAGATGGGTACCCCAAAGCGTAACAGACGGACGGACGGACATACCGATTACTCTATACCCTCCCGCTTTTCAAGCGGGAGAATAAAAACATCTCTGATATTCAAGACATGTAGCTCAATATTTTGTGACCTCGTATAGATTTGTTGTACCAGTATTTAAGGGTAGAAAGGTCATTCTACTAGCAAGAAAATTCTCAAACTTGATCATCTGAAATCACATTGTGTGCATATTTTGGTGAGAAAAGTTGTAAATTTATGCAATTTAAGAGCGCCTGCAGCTAGATTCCTCGTGATTCCTACATGTATCACTTACAAGCTTTCGTACCAGTAGGCCTAAGCCATTCCTGATTTCGATCTAGTCAACACTTCTCTTGACAACAAAATTTTCTTGAACACTTCAAGTACTTTACAGGGCAACTTGATCCACACTTCTTTGTTAGGATAGTGTAAGGTTGTATCAAGAATCGAGGGAGGATTGCACACAAACATTTTCTTCTTTCAAATTTTGTAAATTTCAAAATTTTTTAATTTATATACCCTGTTCAATACAAAATTATCCGTTCACAGCATGAAATATTTGAGAATGCATATGAAGTTTTGACTGAGAATAACAAATTGCAAATGTAGGGACACAGAATCAGAGCTGGACAACAAAGAAAATTTATGGTTTACGTACGGGTATATTATACTAATAATTCTTAATAAATATGTTTATATTTGAATATTATAATATATTCAGATTTATATGATGTAACAGTTACTAGCCCTATAATTGGTCGTGGTCAATCATTTTAAAAATCATACTAATTATGTTGCACTAGACCTTCTATTAACATAAACATTTATTTTTTCTACACTGGACTAAAAATAGATCAAGAATTCCCAAGAACTGAATGTTCACTCGCCTTAATTCTCGGGGGAAACTGCTCTTGGGGTAGCTTAATTTTCTTATTGTCCTCAAAACAGCAATTATTGTATGATATTACTAACTTTTTATGTGAAGAAGCATGGTGAGACAGGTAAAAGGTAAAATGACTTCGGAATTGTGGTCAAAAATGTATCTTAAAAATAGAAGTAATTAAACAAAAATCCGTATTATAAAAATCCTAAGTCATTAACAAAAATATTTTCCAACTTTCATTGCATATTTGAACATTATTTCATGAATAAACAAAAACTGTAATTTATTTTCTGCAAAACAAACCAGAATTAAACAGTTTGGGTATTTTACGAAATTAGAAAGTATAAGACGTCATTTTAATTGCCATTCTGAGTTAATTAACACATTTCAAATTTAAACGACTAAATTTTCCGTTTTAAAGTGATCAAAAAAGTGTTCTATTGTCATTTTACATAGTTGTACTACGCTCAGTAAAATATTCACAAATCCTTTCTCCTATGTATACGACATTAAGAATCAAATAATTTGAAGAAAAAGATGAACATCCGCCATTTTGAATCGCCATT